TGAGCTGTAACAATCTCCTGCTGCCAAAAAACAAGACAATTTCCAGGATCTCAGAAGAAAAAACACAAAGCCATTGATAAGTTACAGATCTCCAGGAAGAAGGGAAAACAAAAAGGAGCCTAGAAGAAGAAGGAAGATTCCTTTCCACTCTCCACCTTCCCCAGGTCCATTGTAGGAGTCCCTGCTCCACAGAGAAAAGGGAGAGATAGGCAAGCTGGAACCCAGGTTATACAAACTCAGCCTGCCATCTTCACTCCACCTTTAAGCTGGATATTCTGAAAAATGCTTCTTTCTCAGACTTCCAGGGAGATTTTAAAATTAACATGAGGATCCAACCTGGTGGCCACAGGGAACATTTTTCTCCTCTTGTTAAGAATGAGTTTGGGGGGCAGTGACTAATTTTGTAAACTATTTCAAATGAGCAGCCCTGGACTTATTTTCTTAGCCTGGAATCACTTGACTTCATGCCATGAAGCCATGGCGTCACATTGTCCTAGTTCCTGCTTCAGACATTAAGAGAAAGGGGGCTGGGGCAGGTGGGCTTTGAAGAAAGGAGTGGTAAGAATTTTTGCTTAAGAAAAATATTGCCCTTTCCACGAGGAAGGCAAGACGTATGTGCTGTGAAGAGGGTGCCTGGGCAGTTACGTGAACCGCCAAATCTTTAATCGAGTAGTATCTATTTCTTAGCCTCGCAGAGAGCAGTCTCTAATGGTGGCAGGCTGGCTGCATAGCGCTAGTTTCTCAGCTAGCACAGCACGCCTCTGCTCTCTGAGCTCTGCATTCTACATGTGAAACGAATGTGGCAGGAAATGCACCTGTACCCTCTTTAGTCTCATTCCCCTTCGAGGCCAGGTCTCTGTTTTAAAGAAAACCTTCAAAACAGCAAAACCACAGATAGCAGCATCACCGAGCCCTCAGACATTAACAACAGCCCGTAAACGACAGCCCGTCTCTAACCATCATTACTGCTTCTGCCTTATCTCTGCTCATGGGCTACTTTGCTCATCATAGTAGGAGTATTCCCTCAAGAGCTCAACACACAATTCTAGTCAAATCCAACCAACTACCATTGAGATTCACCTCATTTATGTCATTAAAGCCTCATTATTTTTGTGCAGTGTGTGTTCAGCCTGAGTATGTATATAAGAATTCTATATATTCATTTGCAAGATGATTAAGTGAAACCCAAAGTTGACTGACTAGTCATAAAGGCAATTTGGGACCTGATCTACAAATGTGGTATGAATTGAGGTAATAATAGGGAGGTTTGCCTCATTTGATGACCTGGCTTTCTTCCTAGGGCTGATGAGGGCCCCTGTTTACAATAGCATCAGTTGCTGGAGATTATAATCTTAATTGAAAAGAGGAGGCTGAATTTGCACTGATAAATCCAAGGAGAGAGTTATAGTGTTCTTTTAGAAAGCAAGAGGAAAAGAGAACCCTCAAATTAAAAAATGGTTGTGCTTTAGATAATATATGTTAGTAAGAAAATAAAAACACTGCTTTGATTGGACAAATCATTTCAGTGGTTTCATGAGAAATGAATCAGGCATGGGGACCAAATTTCATTTGTTTTCAGTTGTACAATCATAGTTCCCTGGTCAAGGAAATCTCTACCCTCTGGGGATGAAGCGATCCATTTCAGAACTCTGACTAGTTAGTTCCCTGACAGGGTGAGATGCTTTTCCATAGTGAAATGCCCAAACAGAGTGGGATGTAGCCATACCAGTGATTGTAAGGTCAGGGTCCACCATGTAGTCATTTATTTTAAACACAGGATGGAAGACTTTTGGCTGATACCTAACAGGAATGAATCATTTTGATGTAAAAACTCTTTTAAAAAGTGTTTAAGGATGAAATGCTAATTCAGAAATGAAGTATCTGTTGATCCGTGTTCCATAGCAAAACAATTTATCTTTATTGACTTGTGTAGCTCACTCTTCTTGGAAAAGATTGAGCAATTTATAATTTTATTATTATTATCTTGCCTTAAAAGTCTGAAGAATTTGATGCTTGTAGTTTTAGATGTAAAGCATCTTGGAGAGAAAAAGAACATTTTGAATTCTTATCTCTTATCCTTTGTAAAATGTATAACTAGTAAGCCTGAATCCATTATCAGGTACAAAATGGTGTCACGGTATGCCCTTCTGGATGTAGACAGGCACAGCAAGTAAGACACAAATCCTGTTAGATATCTCTGATTTTAGAGGCAATGACAGCCAGAAAAATTGAAAAGCTGCCTATTTCTAATTAATAAACTCTGTCCCCACTTCCTTCATCTGGATACTTCCTAGCCAAATCCTCTCCTCCTTGGTCCCCACCCACTCTTTTTCCAGGATGAAAAGTACACAGAAAAAAATTCTTCTCTGCCTGTCTGCCTTGTCTCACCCCAACTGATGGGCATAAAACATAAAAGTTGCTAGACTTTCTCAAGTACCCTCAAACTGGTCCCCATTCCTGAAAGATTCAGATCATTACCTTCTAGAGGTGTTACTGTTTAAAGGTTGTTTTCCTTTAGCCATGAAAATAGCCATAATCTCCTAAGTTATCCAAGTGGCAGTGGAGGCTAAATATTGCATGGACTCACTCTCTCATGCCACAGTCATGTCCCGGGGACCCCATGTTCACAAACTGTGATATAAACTGTCATAGACTTAAGCTGTGTGGACCCAGCAGAAATCTCATCATTCATTTGACAATGATGACTACACACTCATTTCTACCAGTCAAGTTTCTTGACTTAAAAAATACCGGGGGTGACGTGTGCATTATACTCACCAGCTTTGCGAGGCAAAGACCCAGGTAAAGATGTATTTTGGGCTTGAATTATCCAGGATTGTTGCTTCCATCCTCTCCATTGCCAAATAGCAACAGCAGACTGGTTGGTGATTCTGTTGACTAAATGATGTGTTTTCATATACGCCATGTTTATTGTGCATTACAATCAATGAAGGATCTTGAAAATGCAAAGAGAAAATGTGGTGCAGAGAATAAAGTTTGGTTTATGGATCCAAGGATAGGCTTTCCTTAAAAAGCACTACGTACAATACACAGAAATGTTGACTAAATTCCATCTTTCTAAAATCAATGACTACTTTATAAATATTCATTTCAGAAAGAGCTCAATCAAAATTTGCCAAGTGAAACAAACAAACAAACTAAAAAAAGATCTATTTATAATGCTAGAAGGAAAAGATTGCCAAGATTTCTTATATGGACCATTTTGAATAGTATTTTACGAAGGGTGATATGCCACAGTTTTTTTTTTTTTTTTCCTTTTCTGAACAAAATGTAATCAAATATTTATCCCAGGAGCTAGGGTAAAGAAACGGGCAAGCATTTGTTCACGTTGGTTCAATCAGCACTTACTGGGATGAGGAGGACAGAAAAACAAACAACAAGATCAGCAAACAGTCAACACAGAGGTGAAGTTGTTAATGGAATGTAGAATATTATGTAAACTTCCTTGTAAATTCTGTACATAGTTCATTGAACTGTTCCTTGTGGTGTGGTGATCCTCTGCTTCTGGGTGGATGTCTGAAAACTCTGAGCATTGTAAATAATGTCAGCTTAAAAGGCACTTGCTTTTTTTTCATGAAGTGAAACGACTAGTGACTTGGGCCCAAACCAGAATCCTTTTAGCTCTTGCTCCTTCTCTGCCCTTGTGTGTGGGCAGTTGTGTAACTCTGCCAGGGGTCTCTGGTCACTGCCTCGTGCTCCAGCCCCACTGAAAGGGGCTGGGGCTGCCAAGAAGGCTGCGCCCCCGTGGGCCTTGGGAACAGCACACCAGCAGAACCTTAGTGAGCCGCTTCTGGAGCTATGCCATGAAAAGTAGACGTGTTTTTATCACTCATCCATGGCTATTCATATATTCAGATGCTGAATTACCCAAGCTCTTGAGGGGGGTCAGGAATGGAAGATGTGGTCAAAATCCGCAGGGAATAGAAAGCTTCATTTGCACCAGTAGCTTTAGCTTCTACCTTCTTTCCTTCCACAAGGTTTCCCAGAACTTTTAAACAAGAATATAAAGGGATGGATGGTTGGTTAGGGTAAACAGTCAGATGTGCAAATGATGGGAAGGAGAAAAGGAAGAGGCAGGCAATGACACTGATAACACCGACTGGCTGACTCAGCCCTGAAAGATCCAGAGGTAACCATGTCACTGGTTTTGCAAGGTAAAAAGAAATACTGGTATAAATGGACTGGGTATTAATACAAGTCTTTTTCAGCTGGGTGTCAAAGATATGTTTGGTATGTACTAGTCAAATTTAAGAGAGAATCTGGTAATTAAATGTTCTCAAATATATTTCTCCCAAGTCCTGGTATTCTTGAAAAAGCCTTCAGAATGGTGGGACATTATGCCATAAGATGTGTTTCCATGGATACTGGCAGTCCCATAAAGTGTGATGGTGTCTTCAGAAATTCCAAGCAAAGGGGAGCATAATTTGGTTTCTTGGCAATATTCGAGGGCAAACAACATCTTTCTTGCAGGTAGGAATTTAGCAAGGTAGGCCTTTTATTGCCAGCATTTTGAGTGCAAGGAGCTGTCAGGAGACATTTTGGCTCCAAAATGTGCCACCTAGGATCCACCATCGATGGAGTAAGAAAAATGTCCTATTGAAACTAATCAAGTCAGTTCCTAAGTCCAGAATACATTGTGATTTTGTCTAAATCCTGCTTTTTCCAAATAACTGAAATCAACTGAACTGTCAGAAAACTTCATTATTAGAGGCTGCAATTTCACAAACATTTGAAAGGAAATCCTTTTCCATAGACAAATTGCAAACTAGAAAATACTAAGTGCCTGGAAGGATAAGCATCATTTTGTGTTTGTTTTTATTTTTCCAAAGCAAGAATTCCCTTATTCAAACTGAAGAAGTCTAACAGTTCTTTGTTTTGTTTCATTTTTCCTACTTCAAAAGTTCTTGGTACATCAAGGGACTGGCAACCATTCCTAGTTGGCCTCTGTGCTTTGCACCCTCTAGAGCAATTAGCACTCATCACCAAGGTTTCAACAGGAATTCAGTGTGGGGAGAACAGAAGTATCTGTCTGAATCAGCTGGGTTAGAAGTCAAAGGATAAGCAAGAGCAATCAGTATTGCAGTCTGGCCCCTGCTTGTCCCTGGGTTTCCTTTTGAAGAAAAGCAGGGAAGGGGGAACATTTTCTTCTATAATTTTTTAGAGGTGAAAATTATTCAAATATGATATGTTTATGCATTTGCAAGTCTGGCAATGAAAAGCAGGTTACCTCTTTTGTGTCCATTCCTTCCTGGTGCCATTTGCCATCATGTTGCATGCCTTAACCCAATGAAATCAGTTCATTTATTTTTCCTTTTTCACTTCAAGTCCTCACAAGCTGTCTTGTCCATGAATAGCAGAAAGCTTAAGCTTCTTTGGACTTACACTGCATATCTTCAATGAAATCTACAGGAATAATGAATGTCAATAATTTCCCCGAATTCTGGCTCTTATTGGCTTTGACAGGGCTGTAGGGGTAGGCTGCACAGTCATGGCAGCCTCTCCTGAAACGCCTTGGATCATCTCTCTTTTCTGCTTGTCTGCCCCTTATATGAAGAGTACACATGTTAACCCAACCCTTCTCTCTCCCGCGCTGATTTAAAATAAACTGTAAATAAAAATCATTAGCTCAAACCTAGAAAAATTACACCAAAGTTTGATGATAAGACCATCTCCTTACAGTGGTAACGTGGTGAATTCACACTATAGCAATTCGTTTTAAGTGTTTATTTATCTGGCTGCAGTAGGTCTTAGTGGGCCGCACTCAGGATCTTTGTTGCATTGTGCGGGATCTTCCCTTGCAGTGCAAGGACTCAGAGCTTGTGGCGTGATGGCTTAGTTGCCCAGAGGCATGTGGGATCTTAGTTCCTGGGCCAGGGATTGAACCCGCGTCCTCTGCATTCCAAGGCGGCTTCTTAACCACTAGACCACCAGGGAAGTCCCTGTATCAATTCTTTTACACCAAACTTGTTTATTCATGTACTTCTTCAGTCTTAATTGTACACCATTTAAAAATCTATTATTATTCCTCCTAGAATGTCTAAACATTTACATAGCATACCACCAGTTACAGGCTATTCTCTAGGAATTTGACCTACTTCCTCCCTTCTGTATCTGATTCCCATTACAAATTTCCACTTCTAGGTATTACCCTACTTTCAGCCTTCTAGCAGACATTAAATATAGCTAGTAATTGGACAGGTCATAATGCAAACTGTCTAAAGTGGCCTGATAAAATATATAGAACATCTTTTTCCTACAGACAACATTTCTACATTTCAAGAACAGAAAGTTCTCCAAACATATACCAAGTGATATATAGGCTAACATTAAAAAGTTAAGTACAAATGAGCTGCATGGTGGGGAGAAGGAAATTATAGTGAATGGAAAATACCTTGGAGTTAGGATTTTGTGACCTTGAATTTATGCTGTTACTATTACAGCCCAGCTGTGTAACTTTGGACATATCACCAAATGACCTCCCATTCCGCTTCCAGAACTAAATTTCAAAGGGAATTTTGGGGAGGTGCATTTGTACAGGAGGTTACCAGAAAGATAAAGGAGTCCCATGGCCCCTGCTAACACAGTCCCACAAATTTAGTAATATTCCTTGTCTCATGTCTTTGGGAGTAAGCTATCTGGTGTAAAGTGAACTGAATTCAAAACTTGTTTATATTCCTCTAAATATATATATAGAGAGAGAAAATACAGTTACATTTTCAGGCAAGTGGCAAAAAAATATTTTATGATTTTAGTAATCATCTGCACTACAATATTGCCCTTTAATAGCACTGGAGAGTCGCAGACAACATAAATCACCGTGGTTTCTATTTTCAGATATCTGGAAGATGTTGACTCCTAGACCATTCTTTCTAATGCAGTCAGGAAGTGGTCACGAAATGCCTCTCCTGAGTGGAAGAGCCAGCTTCTGAGCAGCATCTGAGCAGAAATGCTGTCACAGCGCCCATCAATGTCCCTTCCCCTCCCAGACACCGTCTGTCCTAAGGGGGATAAGCACATAGGGCGGAGCTCTCAGGCGAGAAACCGCTGCTCACCTGTTGGAGAAGATTTCAGGCCTGTTACCCACTCTCTTTGCACCACTTCTCCCACCTCTCCCACCCCCCACTTAAACACTTAAATCTGCCGAATGTTTTAGGCACAGCCATGGCAAAACTGAAAGTTTACTTACCGAATTGCAATCAGCATTTCTAGCTCCTCACATTTTTAGAGCTCACATCCTCCCCGTCCCAGTCTCTGGACAAGGTCCTGTTGAGCTTTCTGCACCAGGATGCTCTTAACTTTCCCCCCTATTTTGTAAGATAACTTTCCACCTCTCAACTTCCGTGATTCTCCTGAGAGCCCCTGGCCATTCAAAGCTGTTACGACTGCCCAGAAATTCTTGCCTTCCATCACAGGCCAGTCTATGAAGGAGACAGTCTCTTTTTTGTAAAGTTAACTTAATATTCTGCCCCTCAACCTCACATATCCTAGAAAAATTTCCTGTGTGCAGGTGTACTCATCACTGGGGCTTCCCAGGTGGCTCAGTGGTGAAGAATCTGCCTGCCAAGCAGGAACTGTGGGTTCAACCCCTGGGTTGGGAAGATCCCTCGGAGATGGAAATGGCAACCCACTCCAGTATTCGTGTCTGAACAATCCCATGGACAGAGGAGCCTGGCGGGGAACAGTCGATGGGGTCGCAGAAGAGTCAGACGTGACTTCGGGGCTAAATAACTACAGCAACTCATCACTCCACTTAGAGAAGTGAGTAAATACTACTTTTTCTGGTTTCCCTACTTTTTACCTAGAGATGGTTTCATATTTAATTTTATCTTTTTCAAAACAGAAAAGCAGTCCTAAATCTTCACATTTTCATCAAGTTGAAATTAGTACTTATTAACATATATATCAATTAGAATTCATTCAGAAGCAAGTTAACAAAAGATACTAAAAGTAACTTTAGCCATCAAAATGTTATCTCATATAACACTAAGTTAGAAGTAAGGTAGTTACTGGATTCGTTGTTTCAATAGCCCAGCCGTGTCATTTAGGACCCAAGTCTCCTCCCTAACCAGTTCCTCTTAACCCTGTGTGTTATCAGCGCCCATTATGGCTGCAAACTGGCTACACTCATGCATTCATCTCAAGTGGAAGAAATATAGGAGAGCTCTGCTTTGGGTTTATTTTTAAGATCAAGGACATCTTTCCCAAAACACTCCCCCAACAGTTTTCTCTCTTGTCCCATTGGCCAGGGTTTGAGTACACATTCATTCCTGGACTGTCTCTGGTAAAAGGAATGGGATTATCATGACTGGTTTACAACATTAACCACCCCACTCCCACCACCCCCCCACCTCACCCCTCCCACCCCACCCCTGTCTGGTGCCTGGGGCAAAGGGGTGGGATGGAAATATTTAACAAAAAGATGGAAGAATGGCTTTTGGCTAGATACCTAATGACTGTCACACATTGGTCTAAGGCATCAGAAAGTACTTTCCTACCCATAACTTCCTAATATGACCTTCACTACAATGTTGTGAATATGATGACAATACCAGGATCTGGAAATAGAGGCTCAAATAGGCTGTGATTAACCCAAGATCTGCTAACTAGTTACTGATGGAGTTAGTATTCAACCTGTTTTTCTTGGCTCCAAAGGCAAAGATTTTTCCACTCACTACACTGTCTGGAATTAATCTTTTTACCGTGATGATCCAGGTTGTGGGCAGTCCAAAGATAGTGGAGAATAGGGGAAAAGAGAGCAATTTCCCCTCTCAACAGCTCTATACTATGCCCAGTAAATATTCTTGCTCTTTTTTTTTTTAATCCTTCTCCTCCATCCCTCACACAAAAGCCTTTCATTATTCTCTCGGGGAAACATGCAGAAGGACTAGTTTGTGCCACACACACCTAAGTAGCCTGAAGTGTGCCCGTTTGCCTGAGATAGTGCCAGCGTAGAATTATTAATAGATCATTTCACTCTCAAAACTGTCCATTTAGATGAGCTATACAGTCTTACTAATTATGAAGTCTCATAATTCCCACATCTGGAGGGTATGGGAAATATTAATGTTAACATTAACACCTTGGAGAAAATGTCCTGGCTCCTTATGAATCCTTCATTCATGATTGGCCTCAGTCTTCTTCATCACTCATGCTCATTTCATTTCTCACCATTCCCCTTCCTCAGCTTCGAGCAAGCTCATCCTCAGGCTTTCCCTTCCTTTCCACAGCAATGGTCACCTGTCATCCCAAAATGTTCTTGTTGCTGTGCTTGAATTTTTACATTTTGCCTTCAATACCCAGATTTGCCTCCTCCCGGCTCCTCCCTTATGTTGGAGTATGAATCAGGCCAACATCATCCTACCATCTGTCCTACCGTCTGTCCATGGTAGAATCTGTACCTGCTTATTTAATAACTTTATGTTGCTAAATGCAGCCATAGAGAAGCACATTTCCATAATGGATGTTACTTCAAGATTATATACAATACCTGTGAGACACGTGTCACCTACACCCTCCCCCAAGTTATTTTTAGTCCCATAGAGCCTATGTCTACAACCTCTAAATGGGTTTTTTAAAATGCAGTCAAAATTGCAGTTGAATCCATGTTAAGCTCTGTGCCAAGTGGTCACTGAGATTTTTTTCATTGCTTATGACTATACAAATCCTAATACCACCATTCTCCATCCTGCCACTCTAGCAGGTCTTGACTTCCTAGGCTAATTACTGCTGCTTTTCCTTTATGGAAAAAGAAAATTTTTACTCAAAGTTTCATTTTCCCCTAATTTACCCAAGTCTGGCTTATTAAAACCTTTGAATTTAGATTCTATGAGGTGTTTACTCTTGAAGCTGGGACTATACTGCATAATCAGAACATTACAATGTGAATTCTAGAAAATCCTCCCAGAGTATGGCATACCAAATTCCAAGAAATAAATAGAAGGTTTAAAACTATCTAAGGGGGATGGGCAGTTCTTGACATGCACCACTGTCCCTCAAGACTGTATAAAATAGATGTGCAGAGAAATACCTTTTCTGCCCCTCTCTTTTCAATTGTTAACTTCCCTGGTCTCCTGTTACATATAGTATTTACTATTTGCATAA